CCACCTTGGACATGGCCTGTGAGATAGTACCTGACCTCTATTACTCAGTGGAAATAAGTAGTGGTTGCTAGTCCAACAGTGATAGTTCTCCTGAACTTGATCATCTTGGACATGGCTTGTTAGATAGTACCTGACCTCTATTACTCAGTAGATCCTAGTCAGGAGACCAAAATTTGTGAATAAGTAGTGGTTGCTAGTCTGACAGTGATAGTTCTATAAAACTTGATCATCTTGGACTTGGCCTTCAATGTAATACCTTTGGCAACCTGTGTAAGTCCTAAAATAGAGACTTGACCACATAAATGAGCACAGGTTGTTAGTCTGATAGATTTGGCTATATTGTTATCTGAGACAACACCTAACCTCTGTCACCTAGTAAGTCATAGATGAGATCTGACTCCGAGTTGGTGACCTTCTCCAGATTTTTTTTCTTTCCAGAATCTGTGGATCAGACAAGGCACAGTGGGTGTAATAGCCATCATCGCCCACAACTTCAACATAGCCGATGTACACTGCAACCTTATCCCACTTCTGCAACCATTTATCAAGCAGCCAATCATACAAGTGGATAAAGAGGTACAGCCAATCACATTACCCTCTCATAGTCTGAAGGTAGATCCCTCCTTAAAGGCCATGGAATGTTTTGGAGTTAACTGAAAGATTGTCCCCATATTTATTTGTTTGTATATTTTTACTGTAAACCCCACCCTCCCTTTACGCAAGATGAATTAACAACACAAAAAATCCAGTGTTCTTCACCCAACTTTCATTTTTTTTCACATTCAGCCAATCCTGCTCAATGTTTTGAAGCCGCCAGTGCCACGGCCCGTCTTTGACTACGTCTTGAGATCTCCGCTGATCGAGAGCTTGTTTGACAACCTCCAGGACCGTCAGCTGCTGAGGAATCTTTGTCGGCCCGGCCACAAACCCAGCTACAGCCAGTCAGACAATGCTGGCCTCGCACAGGTCTGCTCAAATGACTAAGATGAGGTCATCACATACAAACGTGTATCTGAGTCCACAAACATCAGAAGCCAGTTTGTCTCCAATTCTCCCTGTGGAGTCCAAGTCCTATGTTTGAATTCTGAAAATCAAGTTCATATCAGAATAACAGAAGACTTCAATAGCCCCCTCCCCTAAATGGCAAAGACACAATTCCAAAATCTTTGGTTGGCAAATTATTTTTCAACTTCATTATGATTTTCATGAAATGCAGTGATATCCAATTCCTATTTGAATTGATAGGAATAGGACGTGGGGCATTTAGGGATAACATCTCTCCATTGTATGAGTCAGTAGTTCATTTTATCTTTTCTCAGCTTCTAAGGAAACTTCAGTCGCAGGGAATGACAGAGGCAGATGAGGATAAGTTGTTGTTGCTGAAGGATATCATGATGAAACAACAACGAGCAAAGTCAAAGTAAGCTTAAGAAACTTTCAGGGTAATCACGTTTTAATTTAGCAATATTTGCCCTTTTTACATGTTACTTAAATCTGTTTATATGGAGGACAGGGAAAGAAATAAATGTGTGAAAATGATCACAGGGACAAAATCTAGTGATCCCATTATTTCTATGAGGACACTTTTTTTCTTCCTCTGCAGAAAGCAACAAAATATCACTGCCCCCCTCCTGAGATTATGGTTGTGGTTTACAGAATTATTCAGATTGTTCAGACGGGCAAAGACGTCATAAATGGAAAATGTTCTATACCCTGTACACTCTCTACCAGATCAGTAACATGTACCCTGATGGATTCAAATTGCACCTCCCAATTCCACGAACTTGATAGAAGAATGCAGTTGTTGTTTCCTTTTGGGCAGTAAGTCCTGGCCATCTTATCAAAATTGAGTTTATTCCATGCTTCATGTAGGTTTTTTTCTCTTTTTTTTGTAAGTCCCAACGATCAGCCTCCACTGTCCCCAGGCTTGGATAATCCCAACTCTCCAGGGATCATCAACATCTTGGCCTTGGAGAAGGAAGCACCCATTCTGAAATACCACGCCGATCTGATCAAACCGGCCGAGCTGCGATCGGACGCCTCGGAAAAAGCACCAAGGAAAGTTAAGAAGAGATCCAGCACGCTGGAACCTCCCATGATGGTCAGTTGAAACATGTCAAGAATTTATGAACTTATTACAAAATTTTAATCTCCTAGAGGTTCTTCACAAGTTCACAAGTCTGTTCCATTATTCAGTTAGTTCTGAGTTTGATTCTTTTCATTATAAATCCCTCCTTTCCTTTAAAACTTGTCTGCAAAGGCTGCATCGGAATCTGTTGTCTAGAGCTAGGGCTAGGTCTTCATTCCATTGGAAATACGTGGAGATGCGCAGACAATAGACCTAGCCGTAGCTCTTGAAACCTGTTTTGGACATGGCCTAAGTCTTGAAATCCCCTCTTTTGCATGTAAATTAACAATAGATAGGTTCCTACCTTCCTCCATCTTGCAAAATCCTACAAAGCTTGCTGTTGGATTTTTATAAATTTGAGGGAATTGCTTACTATAGAGAGAGGGTAGAAAGAGTAAAAGAAACATGAGTGTCTTTTTTCTTTCTTTCAGAATGAGGAATGGAAGAGCATGTTTGGGACCAGTGAGCCAGCCAGGAGTGTGAAACCTTCCCAGCAATCGTCCAGTCCAGTCCACCCAGCCCAAGATGCCATGGCTACCCTCAACCCAGGCACCAAGAACACCCACCAGCCGGGCCAGGGTGGGGGCAAGCCCCAACCCACGGGACTCTCCACCCTGGGGCCCATCTCCATGTCCCAGCTGCAGGCTGCCGCTGACGGCATACCGGAGAAGAAGCCACTGGCTCCCGTGCAAGAGAACCGGCTGCCACCCATTCAGAGTAAGGGTGTTGATTTCATCCAAGATTCTCAGTTGGGATTGGACTGAAGGAAGGTCGTTAATTCGAAGATCACTCGGAAAGTTCCACTAGAAACACTGACAGTTTTAACTGGGAAGGCATGCCATTCCCACTTGGACAACCAGGGAAAAGCAGTTGTTATCATTGGGTCTGACTTGCCTGAATACATCATTCTTAGTTGGAGCATTCATACCAACTGGGAATTCTGCTTGTTTGTTGTTGATATGGGCTTTCTAATTTCCTGAAAGAGCTCTCCATAAGCAAGGGAAATTTTTCTCATGGGCAGTGTTAGTATTCTAAGTTACTGTTTAGTCTTATGCTTTTCTCTGGCAGCATTAAAATTGTTTTTTTTTTCACGTACATGTATATTTGTTCATGTCTTTGATAGTGCCATAGCAGCATTTTCATGAAGGCCTACCTATGAAATTGAAATTCCTTAAAATGAAAATAAGATTGATCAAATTACTAATCTGTTCAATTTGTTACTGCTAGTCTTTCTTACAAGCTCTTTTTCCGTTTGGTTTAGCTCTGGTTGCGACATGCAAGTTGGACCTCAGTCGTCTAGTTGCCCAGAAGCGAGAGCAGTACGCAGCCGACGTGACCCGGAAGACGCTAATCGAAGAAGCAGCCATCGAGACCAAGATTCCACCATCAACATGGAAACCTAAGGGCCTCTTGGTGGCGCACTTACATGAACACAAAGCAGCCGTCAACAGGTGTGTTTAGAAAATTGGTCATTTCATTCATTAGCCTCATTGGTTTTTAGGAAGCAAAACTCAGGATTTATCTTTGGTTAAAAATATTTTTAAGTGGCATATTCAATTACATTTAGTGGAGTCCATTAATCAACATCACCATCCAAGACCTGTCACAAAACAAGACACAAGACTAGTCACAAGACAAGTCATTAGACCTGTCACAAGACCAGACATAAGATCAGTCGCAAGACCGGTCACAAGACCAGGCACAAGACAAGTCATTAGACCTGTCACAAGACCAGACATAAGATCAGTCGCAAGACCGGTCACAAGCCCATTCACAGGTCCAATTTGTTGTTCAATTTGATGTTCTGATCTCAAGGCATTTGTCTCTCTGATCTTTCTCCAGGATCCAGTTAAGTCATGACCACATGTTCTTTGCCACCTGCTCCAGCGATGGCACAGTCAAAGTCTGGGACACGTCCAGACTGCTTGGCAAAAGCAACACCAATCGCTCCCGCCAAACCTACAATCGTCAGCCAGGCCGCATCAAGGCTCTGACCTTCTGCCAGTCCTCGCACAGCATCGCCTCGGCGTCAGACGATGGCTCCATACACGTCAATAGGTGCGTGAGTCAATCTGTGACTAAATCCTGGAGGCAGGAAAAGAGAACTTTACTCTGGATAAAGATTATATTTTTCAATTTTGATTGTTATGATGCTTCATTTCATTCATAATAGGGACTGATACGAGCCTTCTTGTGTTGTGACTGATTTAATTGAAGGTATCCTAGGAGGGAAATTAACTGATTTCCTTGTTAATATTTTCTGTTTCAAATGACTGTTCCAACTTGTAAGATCTCACACGACTTCAGTGTCTCAACTAACGTCACATGTTGATTTGTTTAGGATTGAGGCTGGCGCGCCACGTTTCAGCCTCCTACACAAAACCAACCTAGACATCCACGAGGAAGGATTTGCTGTCGACGTCACTCACTTTGACACAGGTTGGTGTCAAGACTTGCTCATCAGGAGGATAATATTAACCCGCTAAAATGTAGTGTTTGTGCAAATATTGATATTGACTAGTTTTGGCTGATTTCAGCTGACTTCTCAACTTTTGTAAAGTAGTGTTTTGTGAAATCAGCCCAAATTCTCTGGCAAATCCGTTGCACAGATACAGCAAGAATCCGTCTCCCTCCTCGTTTCTTACAACTTCCAATCCATCTCACATGAGACAATAGAATAGACTGACATCGTCATCGTATGCTTATTTAACAAACATGGTAGCATTGGTCATCATTTCACTCTCATGAGACCACCATGTGGCTGTCATGTGACCAACCGTTATTGATTTCAGCTGATCAGTCAAATTATTGATTACATATTTGAATAGTTCAGTTCTTTCATTTATTTTGCAGGATCTCAGTCGGTGGTTGCATATGCCACAGTCCAAGGCTACTTAGTAGGTTGGGATCTGAGGGCACCAGGTGTTGCCTGGAGGTTACGCAACCAATTAAAACACGGTGAGCAAATTAAAACCAGGAAAAACTCCAGTTGGTCTTAAACTACATGTAGAGTTGAACATGGAGATGTTGATTATTTTTTCCTTTTCCTTTGCTTGAAGGATTGATCACCTCGTTTGCTGTAGACCCCAATCAGTGTTGGATGGCGGTGGGTACCAGCAATGGCGCACACACCTGCTGGGACCTACGCTTCCAGCTACCCATTACCACCTTGCACCATCCCACAGGTAGGGAATTTTGTTACTCTTCCCTGGTATCTGTGCGTTGATTCCCACACGCGAACAGATGCTAAGAACTTGGTGACCAGTGAAGTGGAAGTGCTCTTCTGGCTCTGTCCAGATTATCCAGATTATTTCAAAGAACATTCCATTATGGAATTATTCCAGGAGATAAAAACGACTCATGTGACTAAAATCTGCTTTGCAGCTTCTCATGTGCGACGGATCAGTCTGCATCCCAGTAACCCTTCCTGGATTATCTCAGCTGTACAAGGCAACAATGAAGTGTCCATGTGGGACATGGAGACCGGGGCCAGACAGTTCACCCTGTGGGCCAGCCCCTCACCGCCTCTCTCCCAGACACAGGTAGCACTAGATCAGAGTGTACCAAAGGGCTCTCTGAATCACGACTTTGTCTCTTTTTCGGCTCGAGTTTCAGGGTTATTCCCTTTAGCTTACTGCAGTTCCATTTCTGCTACAGAAGCACCAGCTGTCTTGTAAGTAGTCCAAATTTGAGAGTAAAAATCGCACAAAAATAAACATGCCAACTTCTTGCCGAACAGGAGATGAAGCCAACTCAGAGATGTTGCTCTGATTTGGGAAAAGGCTCTGGTTACCCCCTCCCCGTAACAGGAACGAGGACATCAATGTGAAGTTGTGTATCTGCAGAGAGAGAGGGGGCACACGTATACCCTCTTGATACCCCCTTTGAAATTTTAAGATGTGCTCAACTTGTCTTCGAGCCACAGTTCATTTACTTTCAGTGCCCCATGGAAAAAATGTGTGCACGCGGATTGCTCCCTCAGAAATTTCAGCCCCATGACACTATTGGACCAACTACATTTCTGCTGATATCCTTAGTACCTGCCTATGTGTCATACAGGGAACATGGCAACAGGCAATCGCCTGACTGCTTCTAACTTCTGCTGGTCATTCCTCAGGGACGTGGGTGGGTATTAAAGACAGACATGTGAGAATGCGCAACCCTTGCAGCTTTGCCAAGTTGCAGCTTGGCTTATTTTGATATCATTGTGTTCTTTGTTGAGTAATCAGTTCCCTCACTTTCCTCCTCCGTCTAGACTTCCAACCATGCTGTCCATGGCTTGTATTGCATCCCATCTAATGAGCATTCACCTAGCTTCCTAACAGCTGGATCGGACCAGCGATTGCGTTATTGGAGTCTGACCAATCCCGAGAACTCCTGCATTGTGGCGGGTTCTGTCAACGATCCAACCACTCAACCTGCTGTCACTTACAAGTAAGAAGCTCCAACTTTAAGTAGAATTTTCCAAAAGTGCGATTGTGGTTTAGAAGTTTTGGGTTGAGTAAATTTTCCCCTCAGTTTGTGTTGTTTGATAGAACGTTTGACTTTTGTTGCAGACGGAGATTAATCGACGGCACAGAGGTGATTATTGAGACCTATGACAAGCACCGCAGCACAGCAAACGTCAGCGAGACTGGACGGCAAGGTACAGAGCAGGTTCCTGTTGGTCACCGTAACGTCATCACAGACATGGGTGTGTTCCTGACATCGCCCAGCAGCGCTGCGGTGGCCACAACATCCCAGGACGGTGTCGTCAAAATATGGAAATAACCTCCTCCTTGTTTTCGCATTGCTGCCAATTTCATGGAGCTGGTAAGCGAAGAACTTTGCCATACATTGTAAATCTTTGCTCAGCGAAAGTGGGTGACCTACTGAACTGTCATGCACTTGTTCACTGCTGCCAACTGGTTCCACGTTGCTTTCAGTAAAGACAGTTGTTTTAACTGGCCATTATTTCTTAGCGTCAGAAAACTGAACTTTTCTGATCCGAACCTATATTCAACGAGAGGTTTTAGGCAAAGAACATTTCCACATGAACATTCATTTTTTTATTTCCATTTTAATTCAATACATAAAAAAAACTGAAAAGTACCACTTACTTTGACACGAATTATTTTCTTGTTTTTAACAGTGGGCAAAATATTTCAAATACCAAATCCTGTGAAGTATGGCATTGTTGCTGTGCAGAGAGGACATTCAACTGACAAAGTCAAAACAAATTCTTGATCTTATAATTCCAAAGTTGGGGATATGTACATAACCAGCTTCTTATCACAGCAGGTTTATGTATTTGGGATACATCTTATTGGTACCTTTGGTGCACGTGATGTCGATCTCATCCGTTTTAAGCCCTTGTAATATGTTTGAAAATGTGCACTTTCATTCAAACTCTACACTGTCTTTGGAATCCAGTCTAGATAGCACAAAATGATTCAAAACATGTTTCCATTCAATTAAAAACATTTTTAGCGATTAATAGGGAAAGTAAACTTTCAGCCAAAAAGTTAGTTCGCAAGATTAACCCCTTGCATTTTTTTAAAAATTTGCAATCTTTATTTGGAGTGAAATTGCAATCTACATGTAAATGACTGCAAATTGTGGAAAAATTCAAAATATGCTGCTTTTATTATAAAACTATTTGAGTGAATCGCAAAAAAGCTAAATTTTGGCCAAAATTTATTTTCCAAGGTTAACCCCTTGTCTTTTCAGTGAAAATGCAATCTGAATGACTGCACAACATTCAAAATATGCCGCCTTTTATTAACAAAACTTTTTTTGCGTAAATTGCAAAAAAGTTAAATTTTGGCCTGAATTTAATTATTTTGCAAGGTTAACCCCTTGTATTTTTTCAAACTATGAAATTTGCTCTTTCGGTTAAATTACCAATTTCATGCTTCCAAAATTCAAAATTTGCTGATTTTCATTCAAAACCAATTTCTGAATGAATTATAGAAAAATTAGATTTCGTGCCCAAATTTGACTTTTTTGCA